TAAGGCTCATTACAGAGAAGAACATAAAGATAATACACAGTAATAGCCTATGGGCCATTCGGCCCATCTTCTCTACAATCTCTTTGGCAGGAGATTGATTTGATGGAGACTATGGTTTGGGCATGTATAAAGGATGCTAAAACACATAAGAAGCTAGTGGAAACTAGCTTTGGTAAAGGATGAGCTGACTTTACCTCAGGCTTATGCTATGGTGAATAGTGAGGGGAGCAAGAGACATGTTTAGTCTATAGAGGCACAGATGGATCACTGTGCTAATGCCATGATGGAGCCAAAGGCAGCACTGGGAAGAAAAATGTTGTTTGTGAATACTGCAAGAAGCCTAAACATATTAAAGAAACTTGTTGGAAGCTGCAACCAGAGCTTATATCTACTGGACTCAAGAACGCAAGCTGTGGTAAAAGGAATGAGAATGGGAAAGGTGGAAATGCAAATGTAGCCACCTCCTCACAAAGTGAATAGGGGAATAGTGGTGAGAAGTCAGTGGGAGAGAAACTAGTAGCCGCTAGGGCTGAGTATGAGAAGTATGGCTGAGTAATTAGTCACCTGGAGTTTACTGCTATAACACCTACTTCATCAGAGACAGATCCCTCTTCATTTGCATATGCCCATTAAGGTATTTGCGTTACTGCGAATCATGGTTCTATCTCAGGTAATCGTAGGATCCCTTGGATAATTGATTCTAGTGCCTTTGACCATATGACTAGTGCATCCCATTTATTTTCCACTTATCGGCTTTTATTTGGCTGAGATAAGATCTCCCTTGCTAATGGTTCTCTTGCTCCTATCTTTGGCAAGGGAAACATTAGAGCTTCAGACACCCTCACCTTATTCTTAGTCCTTCATGTTCCTAAATTAAACACTAATTTGCTTTCAGTTAGTAATTTGACAAAATCCTTGAATTGCAGTGTGACCTTTTTCCCTTCTTACTGTGCTTTTCAAGACATGGACTCTTAGAAGGTGATTGGGAGTTGCCATGAGGTGAATGAGATAGACATGCTAGACATGCTTGGACAAAGTCAAGTATCACCTCCGAGAGCAACCTTTGGTTCACATGTGGTAGCCAGTCATTCACATTATATTATGTTATATCATTATCATTTGGGTTGTATTTCTTTTTCTTCGTTGAGTCTTTTGATTCTAGCTTTATTTAAAGAAACTAAGTTGTCAAGTCTACATTATGAGTCATGCGAGTTGTCACAGCATTGTAGAAACTCTTATTCTGCAAGTAATAAAAGATCTACAATTCCTTTTCATATTGTTCATTCTAATCTGTGGGGTCCATGCCATTTACCATGCATGGGTGGTTATAAATATTTTGTTTTGTTTATTGATGATTTTTCTCATTACACTTTATCTTTTGCGTTCCCATGCTAAAGTACCCAAAATTGTAAAACAGTTTCATGAATATATGCTTACCCAATTTAGTACCTACATCAAGATATTCCGATTAGATAATGCTAAGGAATATTTTGAGAAGGATCTTGCTTCATATTTTGAGAAGTTTGGGGTAGTAGAAAGAAAGAACCGACATGTAGTGATGATAGCAAAGAGAAAGAACTGATAGGTTGAAGTAGCCAGGAGCATCCTTTTTGCCTCCCATGCTCCAGTGAGATCCTGAGGTGATGCAGTGATGATAGCTACCTACCTTATTAACCACATGCCTTCTTGTGTCTTGGGGTTCAAATCCCCCTTTGCTATTATGTTTCTTGAGAGTGGGTTGTTTCCTATTCCCAAGCACGCATTATGTTCATGCCTGTAGCTCTCAGAGATATAAATTTGAACCCAAGGCCCAAAAATGCATTTTCTTAGGGTATGCCACACAAAAGGGCTATTATTGTTTTGATCCCACTAGTGGAACTCGTTTTGTCTCCATAGGTGTTACCTTTGCAGAGTCTCTTCTATTTTATGGTCATTATTCTGAATGGGAGCATTCCGTTGAACTGTTTTCTTCACCACTTCCTTTGCGTTCTTCTGTTGATCCTAAGATTAAGTCTCCTGTGGTTCCTTCTGTTCTAGTGACAGAGCCTTCGTCTCCCAGTTCTACCATTCCTACTCTTCCTCTTCCTCCTACCAGTCCTCCAGTTTTCATTACTCATCCTATTGTTCAGAGGTGGCACCAGAGACAAAGGCTATGATATGATCAGGTTGTTCCCTCTTCTACAATTGAGCCTCAAACACTCTCAACCCCTAAAGAGAGGACAAGTCCTTTACAGCCTACTCCAGAACCTCCCTTCCCAGACTTGGACCTACCTATCGTTGTGAGAAAGGGTAAGAGGAAATGTACAACACATTGTATTTCCAAACACCTAACTTACAGCCTATTGTCCCCATCTTATTATTCTTTCTTAGCCTCCATATTTTCTTAACCTATACCCAAGTCGATTACAAAGGCCTTTTTTAAGCCAGAATGGAGGGAGGCTATGACAACTGAATTAGAAACACTTTGTAAAAATCATACCTGGGATACTGTGGATTTGCCTCATAGGAAGGAACCAATGGGATGTAAGTTGTTGTTTACTATCAAGTATCATGCTAATGACACCATTGAGAGGTATAAGGCTTAGTTAGTAGCTAAGGGTTATACTCAGGTATATGGAGACTTTCTCAACAGTTACAAAAATGACCATAGTGAGAGTTTTGTTATGCCGTGAGTTATGACCGGCCCTTATATCAATTTGATGTGAAGAATGCTTTCTTAAATGGAGACTTAACTGAAGAGTTTTTATATGTCACTTCCCTCGGGTATTTTGGTAAGGAAATGTAGGGCAAGGTGTGCAAGTTGAAGAAATATCTTTATGCCCTCAAGCAATCCCCACGGGCTTGGTTTGATAGATTGGAGCTGCACTTGTTGAGTTTGGCTATACACAAACATAGTCTGACCATACCTTGTTTGTGAAGAGGAGAGGCACGCAGGTTACCTTCCTCATTGTTTATGTTGATGGTATTGTCGTTACAGGGAGTGATACAGTGGAAGTTCAGACACTCAAGACATTCCTTAACTCAGAATTTGAAATTAAAGATTTTAGGGGAATTAAGATATTTCCTAGGAATCGAAGTTGCTAGGTCTAAAGATGGCATCTTCATCTCCCAACGGAAGTATGTGTTAGATCTTCTCACAGAGACTTGAAAACTTGGTGCCAAACCTGTTTCTACACCTATTGATGCTAATCATAAACTCTCAACTGATGTCAGTGAGCTTTTGGCAGATGGGGGAGTGTTCTAGTGACTTTTGGGGAAGTTGCAATACCTTTGCATGACACACCCAGATATCTCATATGCTGTTAGTGTGATTAGTCGGTTTATGCATGCCCCTAGAGAACTTTGGGGAAGTGTGTCCTCTTCTCTAAGCATGGACATGCAAAGCTAGAAGCTTACACAGATGCTGACTGGGCTGGTAGTATTGATGATAGGAGATCTACATTTGGTTACTGTTCTCTAGTTGTGGTGAACATGGTCTCCTAGAGAAGTAAGAAATAGTTAGTAGTAGCCAGATCTTCAATTAAGGGCCTGAGGCAATGTACAGGGCAATGGCACATGGTGTTTCAGAGTTGTTCTAGCTTAGGTCTTTTCTAGGAGAGGTGGGTATTTCACATGATAAGCCCTTAATGCTTTATTGTGATAAACATGCAGCAATCAACATAGCTCACAACCTAGTTCAGCATGATAGGACAAATCATATTGAAGTTGACTGGCATTTTATAAGAGAAAGGGTAGCTTTAGGAGAAGTTTGCCTTCCTTTCATTGCCTTAGAGCAACAGTTAGCAGATGTTTTGACTAAGGGTGTTCCCAAGGCAAAATTGTGTAAGCAAGTTGGGCATGATTGACATCTATGCTCAGCTTGAGGGAGAGTGTAGAGATGATGGGCCGAATGGAACTTAGTTTTCTTTATTTTCTATAAGTTATGTTTATAACTTAAGTTTGTTAGTAGTGGGCCTTAGTGATGGGCCTATTTTCTTTTTTTGTTATTATCTTTAGTGCTGGCCGCCCTACTAAGGGCAATCATGTAATTGTTCTTATTTTTGCAAATAAAGAATAAAACAATAGTTGGGGGGCTGAAGAGAGGATCAAACTACTCTCTCTTCTTCTTCCTTTTCTTCCATCTTCTTCCTCCATCACTTCTCTCTCTTCAATCTCCTTTTCTCTTGTTTCTTTTTCTTTTAATTCAAATTATTTCAGGCGTGATTTACAACTAATGGATTTCCAACCAAAATTCATTTCTTGGATAGTTCTTTTATATGCCAACCCACAATTGTCTCCTAGAGTGCTCATGGGAAGCACCACTTCATATTTAATAGTTGTAGGATATATGCCCACAAATTTACATTGAAACAGCAATGGATGAAAACATTATTTGTGTCCTCTTGATCATTAAGGCTAGTAGTGGATGTGGATTGGTCCATGTTGAGCAAGAGGAGAAGGAGAAGAAGAAAGGAAGAAGAAGGAAGAGGAAGAAGAAGAAGAAGAGGCTACAAAGTTAAGGCCTCAAAAACTTAGCTTCAGTCGAGTGAAGCTTTGCATTTATACTATTCTGGCCGTACATAACAATATGTCTACAGAATTACAAAAATATAATACACCTTTTAACACTCCCCCTCAAGTTGGGGCATAGATATCAATCATGCCCAACTTGTCACAGAGACCTTGATGTCTGGAATGGTTTNATAGAAGATAAGTGGTAAGGCCCCCACACATCAGAGTGCACAATATTAAAAAGAGAAGAGGATCTTTTATTGCCCAAAGGGTAACTGTTTCTACAATGCTTTGATAASTGACAAGACTCACARTTAAGACTGGACACACTGACTCCCTTAAACAGTTCAGGAAATAGATGACTTAAAGCAGAAAAAGACAAATGACCCAAATGACAATGACTCAACATGATTCGAMTGACAGACTCTGACAAGGTAGATCCAAAGGCAGCATTCTTAGGATGATCAATGCATTGTCCAGGAGTGTCAAGCAGGTATATTCCATTCGCTTCATGGCCACTCCCAATCACCTTTCGAGACTCCAGGTCCTGAAAAACACAATGAGAAGGAAAAAAGGTTACACAACAATTTAATGATTTGGTTAAGCTACTTACAGATAACAAATTAGTATTCAATCTAGGTACATGAAGGGTGGAGGATAGGAGTAAGGAGTCTGTAGCCTTGACAGTTCCCTTGCCAGAAATAGGGGCAAGAGAGCCATCAGCTAAGGTGATTTTGTCATGGCCAGGAAGCAAATCATATGAAACAAACAAAGTGGAAAGATTGGTCATGTGATCAGAAGCACCTRAGTCTATGATCCAAGGGATCTTAGGATTACCTGAGGTGGTTGCATGGTTAGCAAAAGCCCTTATACCTGAGTGAGCAAATGYAGTGGTGMCTGAATTTTCTGAAGGGTTGGATGATGAGGTCACTCCTTCAAGATGGCTGATCATCTTTCCAAACTTTTCATACTTAGCCTTCATGGCTGCCAATTGTGCACAGGCAGACTCAATTTTAGCATCTGTACCCGTGGCTGCATTTGCACTCCCTGTCTTCCTACCATCATTTTTCTTCTGAAATCGAGCAGGAACAAGTCCGAGATGTAATTTCCAGTGCTTGTCCTTGGTGTGCTTTGGCTTCTTGCAATACTCACAGACAACCTCTTTCTTTCCAGTTCCACTGGGAGCCCCTATAACTCCTTTGGGTTTAACCCCCATATTTGCAAATGCATTAGTGCCAACTCCTTGTACTTGTACCTGTCTTCTACTTTCTTCACTACTGACTAAAGCATATGCTTGTGATAGTGAGACACTTTCATTGGACAGAATATTTTGTTTTGTGATGTCATATTCAGGGTTTAGCCTAGTTAGGAACTCAAAAACCCTGTTCCTTTCAACTAATTTCCGGTAGGTCTCTGCATCATTGGGAGTATCCCATGTCACTGCTTCTATTAGATCAATTTCTTGCCACAGAGATTTCAAGGTGGAGAAATATGCTGCAAGGGATTTCTCCCCCTGTCTCAAATTCTTCACATCACTCCTTGGTTGATAGGCTCTGGCTACATTCAGTTTCTGGGAGTACGTTTCTACAACACTATCCCAGATTTCCTTAGCCAAATTCATCCAGAGATGATGCTGACTAATCTGTGGCTGCATTGAATTCACAAGCCACCCAATCACTGTGTAATTCTCTTGCACCCATTTCTCATAAGAGGGATCATCCACTGGGGGAGCTTTCTTGCTCCCAGAGATAAACCCCCACTTCCCTCTGCTGCAAATATGAGTTTTTACAGATTGTCACCAAGCCAAATAATTGGTTCCATCCAGTTTAACTGTAGTTACAGCCAACAAGGAATCAGTTGTAGTTCCCGAAGTATGTTCATATTCAGCAGTACTCTTGTTCTCAATTTCTGAAAAGTCCATTATGTAACAACTCCAATTAGGGTTTCAGCAAGCTACCAATAGTATACTGATTTTAAAGAACTCAGATTGAGTTGAATCAACAACAAACACAGCAACTCACAAACTCARTTCAGGCCTAACAGCCGTGAGAACCAAGTTCGGTGGCAGCACTTTCAAGAAGAAGGAAGCCTGATTCAGCCTTCAAGGAACAATCAGCCGACCTCCAAACACTATGTATTCTTGGTTCCCAACAATATTTTCCCAAAGAGAACAAAAAATATAATCCACAGTACTTAAGAGGCCTTTTTACAAACACTATGTATGCACCAGTCAACACTCCACTGTTAACAAGTAGGAATCACTTCAAGAACACTCCATATAGGTCCAAGAAGTAGCTGAACTAAAGTAGAGGCTTGTACCACTTAGTTTAGATCAGTTTTCAGCAGTTTGGAAGTCCAATAACAGCTGAACCACACTTCCAGAATAACCCATAAATTTCTGAGTAGAATCAGTCCAGCAACAATGGGCCGAATGGAGGTGTGCTTTGAATGCTTTAACAATCCTCCCAAATAACAAAATAACTCAGCAAAGAACTGAGAAAACAACTTACAGTATCTCTGGTTTGAACTTCAAACCAGGCCGAACACTTTGCTCTCTGAGCTAGCTTCGAAATCCCTTTTCTCTGATTTCAAATCAGGCTGAAAAACTTGCTCTTTGATTCTTCCTGGTCACCGAACCCTTCTCCAAGTGTATAGAAACTTGGGCACCCTCCAATGACCTCCAAGAACCAGGCGAATGACTGTAAACATTCAGCCGTAGAACATCCTCATGCAGTTGGCTGAACTAGAACCACATGAGGGACACGCTAAGCAATGACCCGCTCTGATACCAAGTTGAAAAACAGTCCTAGAAGTATGGGACTGTGCTAGAAAACCAGAAAAACTAACAAGAGAAGATTAGAGAAGGAGAGAGAGAGAGAGAGCTGCGGCAAGGARAGTTAGAGGATGAGGAGTTCRAACTTAACCTCCCTCTAACACTCTAATACTCTTTTATTAAGTTAATCTTTTAGTAATTACAMGAGAGGTCCTTAGTTGGACAAGAAATTACAAAAAAGGAACATAGAAGAGTATGGGCCCAGAATAAGGCCCATTACAGAGAAGAACATAAAGATACTACACAGTAACAGCCTATGGGCCATTCGGCCCATCTTCTCTACAATCTCTTTGGCAGGAGATTGATTTGATGGAGACTATGGTTTGGGCATGTATAAAGGATGCTAAAACACATAAGAAGCTAGTGGAAACTAGCTTTGGTAAAGGATGAGCTGACTTTACCTCAGGCTTATGCTATGGTGAATAGTGAGGGGAGCAAGAGACATGTTTAGTCTATAGAGGCACAGATGGATCACTGTGCTAATGCCATGATGGAGCCAAAGGCAGCACTGGGAAGAAAAATGTTGTTTGTGAATACTGCAAGAAGCCTAAACATATTAAAGAAACTTGTTGGAAGCTGCAACCAGAGCTTATATCTACTGGACTCAAGAACGCAAGCTGTGGTAAAAGGAATGAGAATGGGAAAGGTGGAAATGCAAATGTAGCCACCTCCTCACAAAGTGAATAGGGGAATAGTGGTGAGAAGTCAGTGGGAGAGAAACTAGTAGCCGCTAGGGCTGAGTATGAGAAGTATGGCTGAGTAATTAGTCACCTGGAGTTTACTGCTATAACACCTACTTCATCAGAGACAGATCCCTCTTCATTTGCATATGCCCATTAAGGTATTTGCGTTACTGCGAATCATGGTTCTATCTCAGGTAATCGTAGGATCCCTTGGATAATTGATTCTAGTGCCTTTGACCATATGACTAGTGCATCCCATTTATTTTCCACTTATCGGCTTTTATTTGGCTGAGATAAGATCTCCCTTGCTAATGGTTCTCTTGCTCCTATCTTTGGCAAGGGAAACATTAGAGCTTCAGACACCCTCACCTTATTCTTAGTCCTTCATGTTCCTAAATTAAACACTAATTTGCTTTCAGTTAGTAATTTGACAAAATCCTTGAATTGCAGTGTGACCTTTTTCCCTTCTTACTGTGCTTTTCAAGACATGGACTCTTAGAAGGTGATTGGGAGTTGCCATGAGGTGAATGAGATAGACATGCTAGACATGCTTGGACAAAGTCAAGTATCACCTCCGAGAGCAACCTTTGGTTCACATGTGGTAGCCAGTCATTCACATTATATTATGTTATATCATTATCATTTGGGTTGTATTTCTTTTTCTTCGTTGAGTCTTTTGATTCTAGCTTTATTTAAAGAAACTAAGTTGTCAAGTCTACATTATGAGTCATGCGAGTTGTCACAGCATTGTAGAAACTCTTATTCTGCAAGTAATAAAAGATCTACAATTCCTTTTCATATTGTTCATTCTAATCTGTGGGGTCCATGCCATTTACCATGCATGGGTGGTTATAAATATTTTGTTTTGTTTATTGATGATTTTTCTCATTACACTTTATCTTTTGCGTTCCCATGCTAAAGTACCCAAAATTGTAAAACAGTTTCATGAATATATGCTTACCCAATTTAGTACCTACATCAAGATATTCCGATTAGATAATGCTAAGGAATATTTTGAGAAGGATCTTGCTTCATATTTTGAGAAGTTTGGGGTAGTAGAAAGAAAGAACCGACATGTAGTGATGATAGCAAAGAGAAAGAACTGATAGGTTGAAGTAGCCAGGAGCATCCTTTTTGCCTCCCATGCTCCAGTGAGATCCTGAGGTGATGCAGTGATGATAGCTACCTACCTTATTAACCACATGCCTTCTTGTGTCTTGGGGTTCAAATCCCCCTTTGCTATTATGTTTCTTGAGAGTGGGTTGTTTCCTATTCCCAAGCACGCATTATGTTCATGCCTGTAGCTCTCAGAGATATAAATTTGAACCCAAGGCCCAAAAATGCATTTTCTTAGGGTATGCCACACAAAAGGGCTATTATTGTTTTGATCCCACTAGTGGAACTCGTTTTGTCTCCATAGGTGTTACCTTTGCAGAGTCTCTTCTATTTTATGGTCATTATTCTGAATGGGAGCATTCCGTTGAACTGTTTTCTTCACCACTTCCTTTGCGTTCTTCTGTTGATCCTAAGATTAAGTCTCCTGTGGTTCCTTCTGTTCTAGTGACAGAGCCTTCGTCTCCCAGTTCTACCATTCCTACTCTTCCTCTTCCTCCTACCAGTCCTCCAGTTTTCATTACTCATCCTATTGTTCAGAGGTGGCACCAGAGACAAAGGCTATGATATGATCAGGTTGTTCCCTCTTCTACAATTGAGCCTCAAACACTCTCAACCCCTAAAGAGAGGACAAGTCCTTTACAGCCTACTCCAGAACCTCCCTTCCCAGACTTGGACCTACCTATCGTTGTGAGAAAGGGTAAGAGGAAATGTACAACACATTGTATTTCCAAACACCTAACTTACAGCCTATTGTCCCCATCTTATTATTCTTTCTTAGCCTCCATATTTTCTTAACCTATACCCAAGTCGATTACAAAGGCCTTTTTTAAGCCAGAATGGAGGGAGGCTATGACAACTGAATTAGAAACACTTTGTAAAAATCATACCTGGGATACTGTGGATTTGCCTCATAGGAAGGAACCAATGGGATGTAAGTTGTTGTTTACTATCAAGTATCATGCTAATGACACCATTGAGAGGTATAAGGCTTAGTTAGTAGCTAAGGGTTATACTCAGGTATATGGAGACTTTCTCAACAGTTACAAAAATGACCATAGTGAGAGTTTTGTTATGCCGTGAGTTATGACCGGCCCTTATATCAATTTGATGTGAAGAATGCTTTCTTAAATGGAGACTTAACTGAAGAGTTTTTATATGTCACTTCCCTCGGGTATTTTGGTAAGGAAATGTAGGGCAAGGTGTGCAAGTTGAAGAAATATCTTTATGCCCTCAAGCAATCCCCACGGGCTTGGTTTGATAGATTGGAGCTGCACTTGTTGAGTTTGGCTATACACAAACATAGTCTGACCATACCTTGTTTGTGAAGAGGAGAGGCACGCAGGTTACCTTCCTCATTGTTTATGTTGATGGTATTGTCGTTACAGGGAGTGATACAGTGGAAGTTCAGACACTCAAGACATTCCTTAACTCAGAATTTGAAATTAAAGATTTTAGGGGAATTAAGATATTTCCTAGGAATCGAAGTTGCTAGGTCTAAAGATGGCATCTTCATCTCCCAACGGAAGTATGTGTTAGATCTTCTCACAGAGACTTGAAAACTTGGTGCCAAACCTGTTTCTACACCTATTGATGCTAATCATAAACTCTCAACTGATGTCAGTGAGCTTTTGGCAGATGGGGGAGTGTTCTAGTGACTTTTGGGGAAGTTGCAATACCTTTGCATGACACACCCAGATATCTCATATGCTGTTAGTGTGATTAGTCGGTTTATGCATGCCCCTAGAGAACTTTGGGGAAGTGTGTCCTCTTCTCTAAGCATGGACATGCAAAGCTAGAAGCTTACACAGATGCTGACTGGGCTGGTAGTATTGATGATAGGAGATCTACATTTGGTTACTGTTCTCTAGTTGTGGTGAACATGGTCTCCTAGAGAAGTAAGAAATAGTTAGTAGTAGCCAGATCTTCAATTAAGGGCCTGAGGCAATGTACAGGGCAATGGCACATGGTGTTTCAGAGTTGTTCTAGCTTAGGTCTTTTCTAGGAGAGGTGGGTATTTCACATGATAAGCCCTTAATGCTTTATTGTGATAAACATGCAGCAATCAACATAGCTCACAACCTAGTTCAGCATGATAGGACAAATCATATTGAAGTTGACTGGCATTTTATAAGAGAAAGGGTAGCTTTAGGAGAAGTTTGCCTTCCTTTCATTGCCTTAGAGCAACAGTTAGCAGATGTTTTGACTAAGGGTGTTCCCAAGGCAAAATTGTGTAAGCAAGTTGGGCATGATTGACATCTATGCTCAGCTTGAGGGAGAGTGTAGAGATGATGGGCCGAATGGAACTTAGTTTTCTTTATTTTCTATAAGTTATGTTTATAACTTAAGTTTGTTAGTAGTGGGCCTTAGTGATGGGCCTATTTTCTTTTTTTGTTATTATCTTTAGTGCTGGCCGCCCTACTAAGGGCAATCATGTAATTGTTCTTATTTTTGCAAATAAAGAATAAAACAATAGTTGGGGGGCTGAAGAGAGGATCAAACTACTCTCTCTTCTTCTTCCTTTTCTTCCATCTTCTTCCTCCATCACTTCTCTCTCTTCAATCTCCTTTTCTCTTGTTTCTTTTTCTTTTAATTCAAATTATTTCAGGCGTGATTTACAACTAATGGATTTCCAACCAAAATTCATTTCTTGGATAGTTCTTTTATATGCCAACCCACAATTGTCTCCTAGAGTGCTCATGGGAAGCACCACTTCATATTTAATAGTTGTAGGATATATGCCCACAAATTTACATTGAAACAGCAATGGATGAAAACATTATTTGTGTCCTCTTGATCATTAAGGCTAGTAGTGGATGTGGATTGGTCCATGTTGAGCAAGAGGAGAAGGAGAAGAAGAAAGGAAGAAGAAGGAAGAGGAAGAAGAAGAAGAAGAGGCTACAAAGTTAAGGCCTCAAAAACTTAGCTTCAGTCGAGTGAAGCTTTGCATTTATACTATTCTGGCCGTACATAACAATATGTCTACAGAATTACAAAAATA